TCCATAAGACTTTAACATACATTGTATATCTTTGCTGGTAAATGCAACATTCAAAATTTTAATATTCCATAAATATGAATATGCCATAAAAATGTAAAAGAAATGGTTTAAGGAAATGTTGCATACCCTGCTTACACTGCAAGCAACTCAGATTGGCATGACAAAGCTACAACACTGACATTATAATGAACAAAGCTGTTGACACTGCAATTAATCGACACATCCACCTGACAGCTCTGTTTATTATAAGGGGAGCATCACTGGCAGTGTAGCAACTACAACCAAATTCTTAAACTCCAGATTGTGGTTACTGTGGTGGGCAGGACCAAGCAACTTTTGCAACCATCGTCATTTATTGTTTGTTATTATTATATGTTTCCATCTTAGTCAAAAACTCCTAAACTCTCCTAATCACTCTTCTTGATGTGAATTTGGAATCACCAGGATGGAAGACACATGACCTTCAACAAGAGCTTCAGAACAGGACATTGGATGGAAAGTTCTTTATAGAGGTCTTCATGGAGAAAAGCGTCTTTTATGACTGGCCAATGACGACAGCTTCCTGCTAAATTACTGTTCATAGAAACACCTTACAGCACTTCCCAAGGGCTCAAGCATTGCACTGCACAAACAATTGTTAAAAAAAAGGTTTACTGTGTGGTTTGTTAGGAAGGATCAATCACAGTAAAGGAGTCCAAAAGATTTAGTTATTCGATTACTCATACCACATTCAGAAGGAGCCAGAGACACATGTGACCACATCACATTTGCAGTGTGGATGCTAGTGAAGGATTGTCAAACATTGTTATTTCTTTTCACACAAATCTTGATTATTAGGTAGTACTTGTGCTATCTGCTTATGACTTCAAAAAAAACAAACTGATTTATTTGTAAACTAATGCATTGTAATGTTTGCATTATATAACAAACTTCACATATAAGGTTTTTCTGATGCAATAAAATTTCTCAGTGGCTCAATGGTAGGTACAGCATAGTACTTTCAATGCAGAGTACTCAGAGATTGGGGCTGTGGACAGGTGAGATCAGTAGACACAGTCCTTCAGGCTTTACCCAACATTCCTTTCAGTTACACACTCTCTATATTAGACCTTTTTCTGATTAGTTTTTCTGTTCAGATCTTTTGTCATGTCACTAAATATTTCATAGTACAATACCTACTTCTATAATACTATCCAAAGTATTCTATTCAAGATTTGACAGATGAGCTACAGTACAATGTTGACAATAAGTCAAAAGAAACACTGACATGAATACTAACAGTTTTATGTTAAAGATGGTTTTATGCAAACAACTATTCTCACCTTTAGCTGGATTTTTTCTGTATTGGCATGAAGTCACTTATTCTGGTAAAGCTGCATTACTTTTCCAATAACAATACTTTTTCCAGTGTCATGTGATATTTCACATTTAGTCCCTGTGTGGCATTTTAGGTCTCTTTTATAGCAGAAAATTTAATAAAATTTTTCTGTAAACATGTAAAATATAAAACACCTAGATGATCCTCCAGCAGTTTGAAAGTATGTCAATTCCACCACAGAGCTGTAAAAGCACTCAATATATTGCTTTAATAAGTAAATAGTAAACAAGAAATTAAATAAATAAAAACAGTACGTGTTTTCTCAGACTGCCTTTGTTTGTTATATTTAGTATGAAGATCTAAAACTATCTACAAAGTATGAAATGCACACACACACACACACACACACACAAAAGCAATTTTAATGGCACTGTATAATTTTAAGTTGTATTTAATGTAAATTTATGTTAACTACTGTAAATTACTGGCCTGTAGCTTGGCAAACTACATTTTTTTTCAAGTAGCTCCCCAAACACTATTTTTATTCATCATTTTACATAATTATCATGTGTACTTGCTACTGTGGAACTTATACATCACTTATTATCTTTAAAAGATCTAAAATCAACTTCGGTAAATCAAGTCATCTGTTCTTTCCCACAAATACTCATCATATCAACCCGGATACATTATAAGTATCTTGTTTCCAGGTGGACTGATGAAAACTGGTCACCTCGACTCCTGGAAGTTTGTTGCAAGATAGTTTATTATATATAGTATATACAAATAGTGTGTGTGTGTGTGTGTGTGTGTGTGGCATTCAAAATGCCATCAATAAAATGCACCTATGTTCGTTGTCCATAACATACGCCTGCCTATACCATTACCCCACTGCCACCATGGGCCACTCGATCCACAACGTTGATATCAGCAAACCGCTCACCCACACGAGAAATAGGCCTTTTGTATACATAGAAAAAGTCTTAGATCTTTGAGTTCAGCTCATGACAAATGGGGGCAAAAACAAAAGTGCTGCATTTATAATTTTGTTCAGTGTATATATATATATATATATATATATATATATATAACCCTAACTGTAGGACATTTGTACCAAACTGGATATGAATATTAAAAGGTATAAGATTAGCTTTTTAATCAAACTATTACCTATTGTTTTGACAGTCAAAAACATAGATGGACGTGTAAGAGAAAACCACAGGGGACAGTGAGTACAAGCTATTAATGGGACAATTGGGACCAAAATATTTTATCTTCTCATTTCTGAGGGTACAGTCTTCTGTCACAACTTGGTTGCTGAAAGCACAGGAAGAAGAGTATCAGGTTCAAAAAGTCTCTAATATTCCAAGCTGAAGATAATCCAAACAAGGCAGACAAACCAAACACAACCATAACACTGACGAGACCGGACAAACTGAATTGAAACAAGGGGGATAGTTCACTTTAAGAATTAACAAAGTGACAACAAATAGAGATTTTTTCAGGTCACAACACTGAAAACTGCTCAATACACATTCTTCAAGTCTACGGTGAAGTTAGTCTGCACATATTTGTCCCAAATTGTTTTTAATGTAATTTAATGGAAACTATGTGAGGATTTTAACAGCCTCTGAAGTTGTAGTTGGGGGCTACCAGAGTGCATACACTCATAGAAAACCAAGTGTTCAAAGATGTGGTGCTTCTCATCCTATGTGCGACCCTTTTTTATGCTTTTTGCCGCATAAAAATTGAGGTCATCAATTTTGAATCATAAACCCACCAAACTGGCTAGTGAGTTTATATGCGTTACCCGCCAGGGTTGATTTTAATCCGCATTTTGACAAGTGTTAATTTCAAACCCCATGTATATTGCAGAAACAGTTGATATTTTCACAGAAACATACAGTACAGTAAAATGCAGGGAATGATGTGCATGTGTGGGAGAGATGGAGGGGAAAATTAAGATGAAGGTATAAAGATTAGCAGCGTGCCCTCTGGATCGAACTCCCCTCATTCTTTCAAAACCTGTGCACCTTATTTTTCAAAAGTGATTATGCCAACCTCGACGAAATGTGAAAATAATGAATGTGACAAGTTGATGAATTGTGAATTAGACGAAAAGACACTGGGCAATTGTAGCTGTATGATGCTTCACTGGTCACAGGGATTGTTCATATGCAGCAGTGTCGTAGACTCAAACTCTTACAATCACAGCTGAGCTAGTGAAAGAACCTATGGCTATGCTCCATTCAATCAATATGAAATAGCAGCAAACCCATCTTACCAAACCGTGAATAGCGTGTGATCCAGCAAACTATTGATTCAGTCTTTTAAAGTGGTACACCCTGATGGGCTTCACTCTGTGACTTAAAAGCGAAATGCCACTTTGGCTGAATAGACGCTTTGTAATCGTGTAGAGAATAATGTCATAATATTGAAAAATGTAAAAGTGCTAACTGGTTAATAGACCCACATGAGCAAATCAGTATGCTATGTGCAAATATACATGCACAACAAACATTTGCATGTTAGAGATCATGTGTGTGTGCGTTTCTGCTTGCCTGTTTATATACTGTATATTTACCTAATGCTCAGTCGTGGCCTAACAGTTAGAGAGTCGAACTTGTAACCCAAAGGTTGTGGGTTCAAGTCTCAGGTCTGGCAGGAATTATCGGTGGGGGAAGTGAATAACCGGCGCTCTCTTTAGAGGTGGCATGCCCATTCAAAGGGGGCATGTGCCCCCTCAGATTTCTGAGCCAAGTGGATTTTAAATGCAGCTTCCAAAAGACAAAAATAGCAGAATAATATTTTTTTATATTTGATACAATCACACCGGTGTGATTAGATCGTTCAGTGTGGCACAGCATCAGCTGCTAAATTCAAATCTGACGCATTTGTACAGCGCTGCATTATAACCAATCACACACGATTCTATTGAGCTAATGAATGCAATGACCAATCAGAGGTGTTCAGATGAGTCATCACTGAAACGCGGTGTTTTGTTCACTTGCTTGTTGACTGAATTATAAACAACAAAGAGCAGATGTGCGTACGAATGTAAGTAGGATATTAATTTCACAGTGTAAACAGCTTCAGTGATTTAAATGGGAGTTTTTGAGTGCCTGAACTCTGGCTAGACTGAACTGAAAATGTTCTTTGATCATGTAAATATTCTTCACTCTCTGTAAAATGAAAATGTTAGTAACTTACAATATTGTTATTAAATTCACATTAAATTTAAAATCAGTCGTATTAAAAATATTTTATGGCATGACACCCATACCTAAGAAGTCGGGTTTTTATGTGCAGTTAATAGATTACACAATTACTCTACTTTGCCCATCACCCATTATAGATCAAATAACAATCTGGTGCAAAACTTATTTACTTACACATGTTTGAGAATCGAGATATTTCCTGATATAGTTAACACGTTTGGAAATATTTTGAATAAAATAAAATAAAACATAAGCCTATATCAGTTATACAGTGCTATTAGTTATATTGTGGCTACTGTGTCACGTGACAAGCATGACAATTCTGTTGATAATTGCACACCAGCACAACGCTAGCTCTGCATGCATCATTTATCCTTCACTTCTTTGGTGCCAATGAAACACCTGCAAAGCCTACAGTAGTGTTGACACGTTTCCTTAAATGTCATCTTTAACGTGCTAGGCATCTGACTGTAAGTGGGAAACATCACGTAGGAATTACCCTCATCTTATTTGGATTGGAATGTAGCATTATTGTCTTGCTCAAGGGTTAGGCTCAAAAACAATCCCTTTTGAACGTGCTACTTTTTGGTTACCAGCCCAGATGCTTAACAACTAAGGTGATGCAGCTTAGTGGTTCGCAAACAATTTCTGTATATTTTTAGACTCAAAAAGCCTATGACAGTTATTTTAAAAGTGACCTTGTCCAAGTGCCAAATACTCCAGGGTGTCAAAGTGAAAGATTTCAGCGTATGTGACGTCAGTAGTGAGACTAGACACTGTAATTTGGGACATGATGGCATAGCATAGATGACAGCAAGGTAATATCTTACTTTCCCATGCAACTCTCGTAGCTCTTCTATCAAGCAATCACACAGTCACTTGAGGAATGCTTTATTGCCTGAATAATTATGCGATCTTTCAAATCACCCTTTAAATATCTACTAACTCTCATTAGAGTATTAGTAGAGTATTAGTAGACTGGTAGGGTTAGGGTTAGAATAAGTTGACATGTACTTGCAAAGTTACTTATAGTCAGTAGAATGTCTGTTGGGAGACCATGACAACAAAGAGTTAACAGATATTAAGCAAACAGTCTACTAATACTCTGATTAGATACAGTTAGTAGACCCTGATTAAAGTTTTGAACATGTAACAGAATGTACCAATATACCAATCAGGACATTTTTTATTTCAGGAAATTAAAATCTTAGCAAACATAACTAATTTGTAGACATGTGACTATGTAAGTCATCATTCCTTCAATGTGTAATTGAAGGGAAGTTACAATGTTAGCTTAGGGGAGTTACAAAATATCCCTGCATTTGTACTAGGGACATTTGCTGATGTGTGGTCTTGGCCTAAACAGTAATCTGACTGTTTAAGATCCTATGAAAGGGCTGTTTGCTTTCTTGTGTTAACATGCATCCTGCTGAAACAGGAAGTTGGGGCAGGGCCTTTTCCAGCAGGCTTAAAATTTGTCAATAAGCTTTAGTTTACTTCTCATTGCCATAGTCAGAGGCTTTTTGTTCGAGAGACATTTTATTGGACCAAAAATTTGAGATACCACTGAGTGCTTAGTCATCAATTTTAAATCACTTTCCTGGGAGAAAAAGACTGCACGTTTTGTGAAAAAAAACATGGATAACTTCCAAATTACCAGTGTCACCTATAATTACATAATTAGTTTCATAGCTTAGAATGAAATTATGAAATTATGAAAGACACCTTAATCTTCTGAATAAATGGAAATCCATGCCTTTTATCAATTTTGGGAGACTGCACATGGGAAAGTGTGTGCTATATGCAGTGGGAATGGAAGTTACCCTCTGTGTTGAAGTCTTTACTTCCTGACAGTATTACCCATTGGTTTCACACTGCCCTTCATGTAGCACTTTTGACTGTGTTGCTCACCATTTTGTTTAAATTAGAATGGCTATTATTAACACTAGCTAACTTAACTTACTAACTAACTTTAAGGGTTACTCCACCTCAAAATGAAAATGTTGTCATTAATCACTTACCCCCATGTTGTTCCAAACCCGTAAAAGCTTTGTTCGTCTTCTAAACACAATTTAAGATATTTTGGATGAAAACCGGGAGGCTTGTGACTGTCCCATTGCCTGCCAAGTAAATTAAATTGTCAAGGCCCAGAAAAGTATGAAAGACATCGTCAAAATAGTTCATCTGCCATCAGTGGTTCAACCGTAACGTTATGAAGCGACGATAATACTTTTTGTACGCAAAGAAAACAAAAATAACGACTTTATTCAACAATTCGTCTCCTCTGTGTCTCTCTGCATCACCGTAGTGCCATTTTGGAGAATATGCGCTGAACGCAAACGGCGTACGCTCTTCTGTGTCAGCCGCGACACAAGGATAGGTTTTCTACATTTATTTACGCTTTGATTTGAACGAAAAAAGCCCATCCGTGCAGCGCGTCTGACACAGAAGAGCGTACGCAGTTTGCGTTCAGCGCATATTCTCCAAAATGGTGCTACGGTGGTGTTACGGTTGACCACTGATGGCAGATGCACTATTCTGACGATGTCTTTCATACTTTTCTGGACCTTGACAGTGTAATTTACTTGGCAGGCAATGGGGGGTAAGTGATTAATGACAAAATTTTCATTTTGGGGTGGAGTATCCCTTTAAAGGTCAGACACTTCCTGCGCACCTTAACAAATGCATATAATAATTATATGTATTTAGACATTATGCAGTCAACATGTAATCGAAATACAATACAAAAACTGCATTGCTTGGCATGCTTCAGTTCTACCTGCATACAATAGACAATATGTTTGCAATCATTCTTAAATAAGACAGGAAACATGGTATTAAGTAAGCTTATACTGTATGTAAAGAAAATGTAGGAAATGTTAATTGACTGCATATTCTGAAAAAAAAAAAAACATGAATTGTGTTAATGACACAGTCCACAGCAGACAGATGTTGTGCTAAATGTGTTTAGAGGTTTTAAAATGTGGCTATACTTAAAAAAAAAACTGTATGATATAAACTGTGTATAATATATATTTTTTCAAACTCCATTCTGATGTAACAGCCACTTTTCACAATATATCCTGTTTTTTTTTTCATCAATGTGCTGTTGACCTCAGAAATGTGTCAGATTACAAAGGTACTGTAAATTGGTTTGAGAACTTCATTTTCTGTTGATGATGTCAAAATCTATCAGCAAAACCTCCACTTAAATTGTAGTTCCAATAATATAATTTGTAAGAAAATGTGTATTTAATTATTAATGCACATTTAAATGAAATTATTAATTTAATTTTTTTTTTTTTAAAGAATACATCCTGTAGCAAAATTTTCAAAACAGTGCAATGTGCATTAGCTCAAATAAATGTAGCGTGATGAATGAATATGCTTGCAAGATGTTTCATAATGCTTTATGAAAGTAATTTCATTACAAAGTACATGGCTACTATGCTAAAATCATTTTGAGACTATGATAGCTTCATTGTACATCTCGCTTCCATGGAGCTGTTTTTAAGACTCCTCTGAAACGATTTAATGGGTATCAATAGAGCTGTCCTACTTTCTGCTCACAGAAGAATGCACTAGCGTGTGCGTGCGTGTGTGTGTGTGTGTGTGTGTGCAATATTATATGCTGTGTTGAATCTATGTCATAAAGCACACTGACCAAACTAAATATATCTGAAGTTACACTTACTGTGATGCTTTTGAATGTCACACATAACTGCATTAAGCAATTCAGTATTGTGCAATCCATAAAATCTAATTTTCATTTATTGATTTTTGTCAAACATCTTGAAAATGATCTGCCGGGAGGTAAAGCCAAACATCCGCAGGTATGCAATAAAGCCAGCTTTCGAAACCTGTTTATTCTTAGTTTTGTTGAGCATTACATCCGGTATTAATGGATTGTGTCCAATACCCCTTCTGTCTATAGGTATGGAAAGGTTTAGATTGGATAAAAACTTGATTTGACATATTAATCATGTTTTTTTCCTTCTGAAAAAACACTCGAGGTCTTTACCATTTCCTCAATATACTTGGGCTTTGACTGGCATGTAATTTCAAGATGGAAACTTGAAAAAAAATGTAAAATCTGATAGAACAGCAAAGAATAGCATCATTTTGACAAGCTCCTGTCAATGATTGCAGGTCAATATGATTGTGATGCGGTCCTGGATAACGGTAATTTGAGTGCCATCTGAACTGAGAACTGAATGACACATTACAGCCTGATGCATAACTGCTTAGCTGAGTCCAAATCCCTAATGTGAAGCCTAATCACATCCTCTGTGCTATTTAGTTAGACTTATGACTTTAAATAACAGCTCACAGAATTGACGCTGCTTCAATGTTTTGCCTCAGTTGACAACCTAAAGCATATATAACCGATTGATAGTGAATTGGTGGGTTTTTGTTAAATGTGAGCCAAAATCATCACAATTAAAAGAACCAAAGACTTAAACTACTTCAGTCTGTGTGCATTGAATTTATTGAAATTCAATGTTGAATTACTGAAATAAATTAACTTTTCCACGACATCATAATTTATTGAGATGCACCTGTATATATATATATATATATATATATATATATATATATGTGTGTGTGTGTGTGTGTATATATATATTCAGGGCCATGCAGAGACCTTTGGAGGGGCAGGTGCTCAAAGTATAAAAGGGGCACATGGAGCAAGGCTTTAAATAGGGATGTGCTCAAAATATCAATACAGCAATATACTGTGATGCATTCATTGCTGATACATGTATCGATACGGATGCTTCTGTATTGATACAGCAGCAGTGACAGTTTTGAAAAAGAAACACAGAACAGAAAATACCATTTTAAGTTTAAAAGTTAAAGAATTGTTTCTTTGCACCTCTTAATTACTCTGGAATTAAGACACTGAATTATATTATTATTAGTATTATTATTGAGTTTACAGTGTATGGTGGTTCCCTTTCATGGGAACTTCGAACTTTCCTATGTGTATATATGTTTAGAACTCACGGCTCAGTTTTGAAAAAGAAACACAGAACAGAAAATACCATTTTAAGTTTAAAAGTTAAAGAATTGTTTCTTTGCACCTCTTAATTACTCTGGAATTAAGACACTGAATTATATTATTATTAGTATTATTATTGAGTTTACAGTGTATGGTGGTTCCCTTTCATGGGAACTTCGAACTGCGTCCTCTAGGGGTCGCTATGGGGAACGCCTCGTCGTGACCCGTGTCTGAAGCATACATTGAAAAAACACCAACTCGTTGGCCGGCGACAGCCATAACGTCACTATCGGTGCGACTATAGTATAAATAGGCGCCGGGAGCACACATCATTCTCTTCTTCGTCTTCATTGACTGTTTTGTTTGAAGCGTGCATTTCTGTGGTAAGAGCGATCTCTATTCATCTCATAATGGCAAGCACTAGCAAAGCGTTTAAGGATGTGTGCATCCGTGTTGACGTTGTTTAACATCTGATGACACACACGATCTATGCGTTATTTGTTTGGGTGAAGAGCATGCACTCAATGCCTCCGAGGGGGCAATCGGCGTGCACTGCGAGCGTTTTTTCCAAGGGAAAAGCTCCGCTCTCTTTTGTCTCTCTTTTCGAGGAAAGAGGGGCAGCCATCTGCTTCCCACGATTCAGGAACCGCCGCTGCTGAGGCACGGAAGGGAATGAGCTTGTGGGGATCGCAGGTGGATCTGGCCGATGAGTTTGAAGAGGGGTTTCCCTTTCGCGATCGTCGGTTGTGCACGAGAGTGAGCCGCTGGAGGATGATGTTATTTCATTAACATTGTCTGATTCAGGGGCCATTGCTCTGCTGGGATCAGCCCAGCAAAAGCAGGAAATAGCTGAGGAGGGCAAGCAAGCTGAGGCTGAGCCTTCCCAATTCTCCTGCCCTGCGTATGATGAGCTTTTGGAAATTATGGATCGCGCCACGGCGAGGCTTTACTTGCCGTGAAGCGGGTGAAGAAAGTGACGTCGCGAAGTATCTCGATGAACGTTATTTTTCTGGCCATAACCCTCCAGCTCAGGTGAGCCTTCCTTTCTTCCTGTTTTCCATATAAAGATTGAGAAGGAATGGAAGAGGCCGTTTTTTCCTCACGCATCCATCGATTCCAGCATACGAGTTACGAGTTATAGACGCTGGATACCTGACAGGAGGATAAGTGGTTTGGAGTATGGATGGATAGAGTTTTGTTCATGGTTTTCAAGATGAAGGGATATCCTGGTGATCGGGAAGCCCCTCAGGGCGACCCAGATACGGTAGACCAGTCAGGGTAGCATGAAAGCGTAACCCCAGCCCGGACGTCCAGGAAATTTTTGCAGTGACGCACCGGGGGCTTGATGATCACGAAGGCTCCCACATAAGCCTGTGTTATGGCCGCATGATCCAGGAAGTATGAAGCCGAAACCCGGCTTTTCTTACCGTCTGGACATACGTATATCGACGAGTGAAATAAACACTGCAAGTCGAGCACCCGGTTTCTGAACCCAGCAGAGGGGGTGCCCATCAAGGCCCTACCCTAGAGAGCTGAGCCTTCCCAATCCTCCTGCCCTGCATATGATGAGCTTTTGGAAATTATGGATCGCGCCACGGCGAGGCTTTACTTGTCGTGAAGCGGGTGACAAAAGTGACATCGCGAAGTATCTCGATGAACGTTATTTTTCTGGCCATAACCCTCCAGCTCAGGTGAGCCTTCCTTTCTTCCTGTTTTCCATATAAAGATTGAGAAGGAATGGAAGAGGCCGTTTTTTCCTCACGCATCCATCGATTCCAGCATTCGAGTTATGCCAACATCGAGGCGATGCGCGAAAGCGGTTATGAGAAGATGTCCCTATAGAGAGACGCTT